CCCCCAAACCCGACTGCCGACAGGTCTCAGTCGTTCCCATAAGCCACAGTCCAGCCAGATGGACAACACCCAGAGGACGATTTATCCAGAGGAAGGAAGATTCATGGAGGACCCAAAAAACGTCGCCGTTCTCCTGCTACCGGACCAAATGCCATATCGACCACACCCGCTGCCTCGTCCTCTAAGTCGATGCTCTGTTCCTCGCCGTGAGAAGTATAGTACGGCGCGTGTTGCCTGCTCTCCGCGAGTCGTGGTGCTTCCGGCTGTCGACCAGAGGAGGTGGAGTACGAGACTGGCTGGTAGGGGGGCCCAGCTTGGTAGGACCCGGCAGGGTAGGACCCGGCAGGGTAGGACCCTGACGGGTAAGACCCGGTTGGATAGGACCCTGCTCGGTAAGACCCCGCCGGATACGACCCTTGGTGGTAGAATCCCGACTGGTGTGATGACGACTGGTACGGTGGGTAGGACCCCGGTGTCATCCGCACAGGCTTCTGAGAAGCCAGCGACTGAGAAGCCAGTGGCTGAGAAACGGTTGGTCGGTGCTGAACCGAATAGCCTTGTCCTCCGGGGTCTGTGGGGTAGGAGCCTTCTGGGTGATATATCGCGTCCGGATAAGACCGCTCGCTGCTTTCAGTTTGCGGGCGCTGCGAGGTAGTATAGTCCACACGGTAGCTACCATCGGCTGCCGAGTGGTGATATTCCTGCACTGGACCTTGCACTTGACCCTGTGCCTTGCCGGGGTACATGTTCGATGACCCCGGTCGACCTAGCTTGCCCTTGGTTCGCCCCTGGCCCCGTCCATTCACGGGTGGCGGAGGGGGCGGTTGAAAGACCAGCGACTGGTAACCAGTCGAGGAGGAGACAGGCCGGCCGGCCGGTTGGGCCTGACAATAATGACTGACCTGCCCATGGTCTGTCGGGCCGCCGTAATTCACTTGACCGCCGTAATTCACTTGGCCGTGGATCACGGAAGCGGAAGCCGCCAGACCACCAGAGCTCTGAAACACTCCGCCCTGTTGTTGGATACCGGGTTGTTGGACACCAGGTTGTTGGACACCAGGTTGTTGGACACCAGGTTGTTGGACACCGGAATCATTTATTAGCGACATCATTTGAGGTCCGTGGGTCGCCAGTCCCCAGTTGCTCACTCCATTATTTCCTTGGTTGCTTTCTTCGTTGGTTCCGCTATTTTGACCGGTCATTCCACTCCATCCAGAAGGTTGCTGTGACGAGTTGTTTCCGAAGGTTTCTGCGTCGGCTGACCACCGACTCTCGTGAGCGATGGACGATACAAGATTTTGGGGACTCGGAATATCGGAGCAGGCAGACATCTCTCCCGGTGAAAATCGGGACACATTCGGCGCTACAGCAGGTGAACTGCTCACCGGCGAACCAATGCTCCAAGCCGCATCGGGCGAGCGGCATGGAGCACTGACGGAAGACGCATTAGTGGGTGATGCATTAGTGGGTGATGCATTAGTGGGAGATGCATTAGTGGGAGATGCATTCACTTGAGAGGCACTCGTTGGTGCTGTTGGCTGTTGCACCCGTTCCTTGGCCGGAGACGGCGACCATTGCTGCATCGTCTCCACTTGGGTTTGCTCAGACAGCGCAGGTCCTGGTCCACCACTTTGCTCGGTGCGGGTTTCGGCAGTCTGTCGGCTTTGCGGTTGCTGTCCTTCCTCAAGACCCTGTCCTGCTACGACGTCTTGTTCGGGCGCTGTAACAGTCTGCGTTCTGGAATCGGAAGGTGCAGGCTCGTCAAGTGAAAGTACTTGCTCGCCGCCTGTGCTAGGTTCGCGCGTGCCGCGCATTTCCTCCAGAAAAGCAGCAGGTGCGGCTTCTGTCGGCGGCGGGTTTGGCTCATTCACTGCCCTCTCCAGCTCCACTGCCCTCTCCACTAATCTGCCTTCCTCTCCTATTCCATCCGTGTCACCTGCTCCCTCCTGCTCGCCTGTTTCCGGCTCGATACGCTCCCATTTTTGAGCGGTCTTCTCCTCTACAACCACCGAGCCTAGAGCCGGGTCTACGACTAGGTCTGCGGGTGAGTCTATGACGGGGCTACTGACGGGGCTACTGATGGCGTTGGAGCTGCTGGCGCCGGAACTAGAGCGGATGTCCAGCACGGCGTGAGATTGTTCTCTTGCGACCGGCGCCTCTTCGGCTGCATCTCCAGAGGTTGCCCCTCCAGAGGTTGCCCCTCTGGGGGCGGAGACAGCGCCTGTCGGGATGGCGTTGTCTGCAGAAGGTTCGGTGACGGGTGAAGGCATGGGAGAGAGGTCGTCGTCGTCGAGATCGACCAGGTCAATTGTATGTGGCTCGACTTTGGTGTGAGTGTCGTGCAGGTCTTCATCATCGCAAACGGATCCCGGTTCGTAGCCGATTTTGAGTTCTTCCCAGTCGCCTTGTTCATTGAAGATGACGGCTTCAGTGTCGTCGGAGGTGGATTGGAGTAGGAATTGAACGAAGGAGTCTACCACAAGTTCGTTGGGTCGTGTCCATCGGTTGCATTCGACGCAGCGCCAGCGATTGGCGAAGGCCTTACTGTTCTTGGTAACGGTGAGAAAGGCTTTGAGATCGAAGCACTGCAGGTGTTTGCACTCTCGGCCTCGGACGGGTGTGTCAATTCGTGTTCGCGTAATGGGATCGGTAAGCCGCACTTTACAGGAAGTGTCTACGATGTCAATCTCGTCGTCGGCGGTGCCACCTTTGCCGAAGAACTTGTCGATGTATGCCAGCATGAGCTTTCTCGACTCGTCAAATGGCAGTCGATTCTGTGCCAACACGTTCGACAAAATTTGCTCCACCGTTTCCTGCCGAGAGAGAACAACTGCGATCGCCCACGGGTCGCTTTTGGCAAAGTTGTGCGCTACCACCTTGATCTCATTCGGAGTCTCTCCAAAGAGATACGGCGTTATCTTCATCGGCAAATCGCGACGCTTATGCTCATACTCCGGCTCCTTGATCTTCTCTACGTTATTGTTCACTGTCGCAACCAATGTCAACGGCCACTCATGCACCAACATGTTGTCCCAATGATTCAGCCGAAAACAAATAATGAATACTTCGCAACCTTTCCGCCTCAGCTCATGGATGTTTGGCGATTGTAGCGGCATCACTCGCTTGCTCTCTTCAGAGTCATCAAACAGTGGCAACAAATGTAATACCTTCACCACCGGGTAGAACGGATCCAGCAACTCCAGTCGACACCGCGGGCATATAAACGAAAAGCCCAGCGGTGGAGAACCCATGCAGCGGACGTGGTACGCCGTATTGCACCGCGAACAGTGAATTACAGGATCCGCCCGCAGGCTCTCTGATGGAGTACATTTACATATACACTTGACTTGAGTAGCCGGCGTCTCTAGTCGACGTTTCTTCTGCTGCTGCCGAGAAGTCCTATAAACATAAAACATTGTCGGTGGCAACGCAATAGGAGGAGCCGGCGGAGCCGGCGGAGGCGGTGGAACCCATTTCTGGTTAAACATGGCAGATAAATTGCTTGGCGCTGCTGAATATGCCGGACAACGGTCACAAACAACTTTTATCGTCATGGACGACCAATTGGGGGTGGACGACCAATTTGGGGGTGCAGCACACGTGTGTGCAATCGCCAAGAAATCCTTACCCTCCTGAATAATCCGCCGGCTTCGGCTCGTGCTGGTAAAATGGGGCCGGTACAAACTCGCCTTTTGACATCCTCTGTATTATGACCACCACTTGTCCAGCAATTACCGGGTCGGAGCAAAGCCTATCAACCAGCTCCGCCTTCCGTCCAGAAGACCTCAAGTTGCATTCCGAAGCAATATGCTTCAAATCCGTGACTTTTAACGAACGCAATCTAAAGAACGGTGAATTTCGGAGAATCACCGGATTCGGTGCGCGCGCGCGGTTCCAGACTTCTTGACTGGTCTCACGGTGCGCACCCTATGTACGGTAGCTGTGAATTTACTGTTGTTTCAATCCACTGTCATCGACCATCAGCCATATCAGCGGGGAAAAAAAATAAGCCGCATGCAGTTCTGATGCCAAGTAATAATTGCCATACAAAAAATGAGGTGGCCAAATGGGCTATTTAATACGTAGGTATGGCATGAAGACCGGGAGGCACAGTGTTAAGATGCCTGTGGCATTAAGACGGGGTCTGGGGATCAAGCCGCCCCCGGTGGTCAAGTCCCGCAATGTATTTGCACTTGATATGTGTTCTATCCGGGGACGTTCCACCACGTCGAACGAACGGTCGACTTGGGCCAGTGGTTGACAGTGGCGCCTTCCGGAGCGGTTGTCAGGGGCGCCCAGGTGCTGTTACTCTCGGTGGGTCTTTTTGCTTCTTCCTTCCTGTGCTGATGGTGAGCGTCTGTTCCCTATCGCGTTGCTTTTCTTTGAAAAAAACGTGGTGGGTCTAGCCCGCACACTTACTGGTGGGTGGGCCTGTATATGTTGGTCAACACTAATCTCTGTACTGACCAGGGCCATCGGAACGGACTACTGACGGGTGTTGGCCATAGTAAATTATCATCTACAGCAGTGTCGGCCCCCTAGCATGCATGATAGAGTATCGAGCAATAGAGTTAGTTAATTGCCAAAAAAAGATTCACTTGAGGGCGCGGCTGATTTGAGGTCAGAAGACATCTTATTGAGATGGGTAGGTGTGGTCGCATGTAGGTCGAATACACGGTTGAGGTGTATCTTGTAGCGGTCGATGTCGGCGTCGATTTGCGGGTCCTTCATGACGTCGTGGCAGCTGAAGGATTCGAGTGCTGTCATGCCAGTAAAACTGCCTGTGACGTGTACAGCGTTAAGACTCATATCGGTGCCTAGACCATAGAATATGCCTTCAGGGTCACGGAAGATAGGCTGTGGTGCATTCCAGGTGGAGGAGATCATGTAGAATTTGTCGTTGAGTAGTCCACCAGTACCGTAACGTTTGGTTGGATCCTTACGTGTGCGACCATCATTAGCACACACTTTCCCCACCAGCCAACCTCGATCAAACCACTTCTTCATGGCCCAGGGGTGGGAAAACCACCATACAGGGAACTGGAAAATGATGGCATCTGCCCAAACTATATTCTTAACTTCCTGTTCTGCATTCCATTGCGAGCTATTTACTTCCGTACATTCAAACATTCGCACTTCGCAACCACCAGCAGCCAAATGTGTTGCCGCAACGTCTGCCAACAATCGGTTCAACTTACCTTGCGAATAGCCCCATGACTCCGTACACGTCACAATCAAGATCTTTCGCGCTCCACACACTCGATGCCGACGCATTATCAACTCATCCGCATACCGAGATGCGCCCACCATTATCTGCTCCCGTAACTGGACATCCTCCCCTTCCAATTCCGGGCCCTCCACGGCTGTGCATAAACGAAACATCCCCTTTCCAACCTTTTAAAAAAACAACTTACTACGACACGCACACGTCTAAGGAGACATGTTGACTGCAACAACAAACAACCTGCTATGCTTCGTTAAGCCACCTGCTCTGGGTAGGCAGCGAGCGGCCTTTCAAAATGACCCAACGAACGTGACGGGGTGGCCGGTTAAAAAACAGGCTAGAAATCGGTCGTCAGAAATCTGCTGAGGTTCTCCTTTTTTGCGGTTCGTTTGCGGGTGGTGTGTACTGTTGGCTGGAGTACAGTTCGGAACTCTTGCGTGGTTTCGTTCTGGGGGATTGTTGGGGGGGTGATTTGTTTTTTGAGAAGATGCCGGGCGTGCGAGATACAGGCGTGCGTGATCGGCCAGAGAATTGGTCAGGGCGGCGAAGACCGTCGATGGCTTCGCCTATGCCGATTGAGGCGGAACGTTATATAGTGACAGATGAGGAGTTTGAGTCATTACAGCGATTCGATTGGTCATCTGTATGCCCCGAGGTTTTGAACGATTTGGAATTTATCACTAAGCTTCCACCGACTCCGGTACTCGACTATGATGCACTCGGGCCCCTGCTACCGCCCGCCGACCCCGATGGACTAAATAAGACGCTCTTTATCGACTTGGACGAGACACTTGTGCACACTGCACTCGGCGATGCAGATCCCGGGAATCGGGCCCACGACCTCAGCTTCGTCTCCGACGCAGACGGCAGCGTACAGGCCCGTGTGTTCTTCCGGCCTTGGACCCACGATTTCCTCAGGATCGCCAGCCAGTATTACGAGTTAGTTCTTTATACTGCCAGCGTGAAGCTGTACGCGGATATTGTAAGCCACCACTCAAACCGTCTGTGATGTTCGGGGAGGGGGAGGGGGAGAGGAGGGGGAGAGGGAGAGGGAGGGGGAGGGGAGGGGAGAGGGAGGGTGGTGGGAGATTGATTGTTGATTTAGATTGTGGATGAGTTGGATGTAGAACAGTGTATTCGCCATAGGTTGTATCGAGAGCATTGCACGCAATATGGTGAGAGTGAGATCTATTTTAAGGATTTGAATGGTACAGGTAGGTCGTTGGAGAGCTCGGTGGTGATTGATAATCGTTTGATCTCTTTCGGTCTGAATGTGACGAATGGAATTTTTGTGTCCTCTTTCACAGGACAACCGAATGATACTGAGTTGCTACATTTGCTACCTATCCTGGTGGCGTTATCTAAGCAAAGTGACGTTCGTGTAGCACTCGCTGAGACCTACAAGTTGCCCACAATTGTGGATCGGTATCAAAAGGATCTAAAGGCAGATGTTGCGCGTTCGTTGAGTAAGATCGGGAGTCCCCGGGCACACTGCGTCAACCATGACACAGGTGCAGTCCACTCACAAGCCACCATCACCCTCGGGGAGTTCTCCGCCGCTGCCTCGACTGCCCCTTCCGTCGCTGATCCAGATCGCTGTCGAGCTCTCGAGACAGAGACTAACGCCGGAGATAGTGGAGACAGAGAACAAGGCGTAGTCAGAGCACAAGGCAGGGGACAAGGCGTAGTCAGAGGACAAGGTGAAAAGAGAGGAAACGAACCGACAGAAAACAACGGGGGTGTTGCAGAGGAAGATGGCGGGGAGCGAGGTGACAGCATGGGCCGCATTGTCATGCGGCACACGGTATCGCATGACGAGGAGGATGAGGTGCTCACAGATGTTCCGGAACATTTGGCCGATGACGGCGGGTCGGAGTACCCCTTTTTCCATGACGACGAAGACTCGTTAGAGAACAGCGGCTGTGTCGACAGCGGCTGTGTCGAAAGACGGGATGCGCGTGGGGAACACGTCCCTAGCTTCGCACAGACTTCCGGCAACGTCAAGGATCCTCATCGTATCGTCGCACCGGATAGCACTCGGGGTCACAGTCTTGGTTCGGACCGGAGGCCACAGGGCTCCTTGACGCCAGGGACTCTTGTACCAGAGCGGACTGGGTTCCGATACGACGATTCTAGGGCTGGTTGCGAGAGACAGGACCACTACGACAGCCGCGGCAACTACGACGATCGCAACCACTACGAAGGCCATTGTGACAAGCGTCATGACCCGCGTTATGACGGACGTCATGATGGGCTTGATGACGGACATTGTGACGGACATTCTGACTCCCATGCCGGGTACGACTCGCACGGAGGGTATGACTCTCATGGCGGGTATGGCAGCCGGGGTCCTTGCGACAACCGGGGTCCTTGCGACAACCGGGGTCCTTGCGACAACCGGGGCGATTATGACAGCCGGGGCGATTATGACAGCCGAGGCAATTATGACGAACAAGGTCGCTATGACGACCATGGCCAGAGCGACCAAAGATGTTCTGCACGACCTTACGGCGCGGACTACGAAGCGTCCAACCGCCAACAGGCAGCCGGAGTGGCACAAGTCTCGGACCGACAGCGCGTCCGGAACGAGGTGGACGACGGGCTGTCGGAAGCCCCGAGTCCGAAGCCGTTGCAGCGCAAGGAGACGGAACCGCCTCGACCGCCAAAAAAGATCAGCTATGGTACCGGACGCGGAGAGGTCGGCCCAGGACGTGGTGACGCGGGACGCGGCAACGCGGCCTCACGGAACCCACTGGGGACGGACAGAGAAGAGAGACGACAGGATGAGAGACGACAGGATGAGAGACGACAGGATGAGAGACGACAGGATGAGAGACGACAGGATGAGAGACGACAGGCGGCCAACAGAGCAGACCGGCGGCCAGCGGATCAGGTTGGGCACCAGGTGGCTTCGAATCAGAAGCAATCGAGTGGTTCTCGGCATATGGCAGCTCTGACTCGAATAAGTTATTCCAGGGAGAACGCCCAGAACAATAACGACTGCATCGAAAGCAAAGTCCGGCTAGCGCAACAGCAGGAACAGCGAGTGCCGTCCATGCGCCGCCTCACTCTACCGCCCACTCCCCCTTCGCGAAGACGACGACAAAGCAACCCCTTCAAAACAACAGCCGTCCTCTCCAGCTTCTCACGGGTAGCAGTAACCGTAGACCGAAAACCCATAGCTCCCTACCCACCCAATCGCGTTCCAACCTGACTACGAAGTCAGCCTGACTACAAGGTCGGCGTGACTACGAGGTCAGCGGGCACTTTTTACGGTTCATGCGGCAAACTTTTATGGCGGGCTGGCGACCACAAAACGTGTGTTAAAAATGTTATCGCTCTGGCGCACACGCGTGTGTGCTTGTGTTCGGTCATGACAGATGCTTTCCTAGTGGATGCTCCCCAGGCCACGAATGGCTGCTGGGATATGCGCTGGTAACTAACTACCTATTACTGTGGTAAGCAACAAACTATCTGTTACTGAGGTAACTATCTGTTACTGAGGTATCTAGCTAACTAACTAAGTATTGTTGCGGTATCTAACTAACTGACTATGTAGGTTTTGCTGCGGTAGCCAACAACAAGTGTTCCTATTTCTTGACGGCGATGGTTCCACGTCTGTAGGCTCTGGGCTTCCTTGCGAATTCTGCTTTGGTCTTGGCGTTGGTTTTGGTCGTCTTATTTTGATTGTACATGATTCTATGTAGAGAGCGTGGGTCTCTTAGTTGTACCCAAGTACGTTGATCTATGCGGCTGGCGGCGGTAACGAGTTCCTTGAGTGCCTTATTGGGTCCGAATGTTGCGGCCTTAACACCTTGATGATATTCTGCATCTTGAAGTCCATAGTGTGCTGCGGTTTTAGGATCGCATGAGAGTTGTACAAGTCGGCTACGTTGTTTCAATACATCTTCCATGAAGTCTAGCATTTGTTCGTAAGTAGTATTTTGAAGATTGTCTGCGATTTCGGCGTTTGCATCAAAGTCATGTGCTCCGCTGAAAAGCCCTCCAATGAGAACCCGATGCCGATTATCCAGTCCCTCTACATCCGAGTCTTCACGCAACATATGGACAACACTATCCCGTAGGTCATTGTATGCCTCTTCGCTCTCCCAAACGCGACTAAGAGATTTAAACACACGTGTGTCCTCAACCTTTATTTTTGTTCGACTCGATGGACGACGTGGGGCATCGATTACTTGAAGGGAACATAACAACAACTGTTCCAATGACGCTGTGGTGGAACATATCGCAAATGACAGCACACTCGCGTCCAATCCTACAGTCTTAAACGTCACACTTAAGTAGTAAGCCAGGTTGTTCACGTCTCTAATCCAACTGAAGAACTCCTGCTCGATTGCCTTCAACAAGACAATCAATAAACCTGTCTTAGACTCGTCCGTATCGCAATTCACACTTATCTGCACGATGCGCCCGTTGTCATTGTTGTTGTACGCATACAAGTACTCGTTGCCGGCAACCATTTCGCCACGGCCACTCTGGCCTCCAGGCGTCTGATGCAGACAGATCTCGTTGTTGCGGTCGACGACATCAGGCAGGAGTTGGCTCACGTGGTCGAGGTCGAGAACCGCTACATGGAATGGTAGCCGTTTCACATTGTCATCACCGTGACCGGATTCACCGCGTTCCGGATCAGTCAGGGCGGTGTGTGTGACGGAGAGATCCACTTTGCGCGTCCTGAGAGGGGTAAGAAGACAGCCATCCATCCAATCGTGCACGGCTTCGTCCACGCTGACATTACCACCGATAGCACACACTATAGTAGCGCCTCCGAACATTTTGCTGGCTGTCCACTTGCCGCTTGTGAATCCCATGAAATTGAGCACGTCCTTCTTCTCGATCTGCTCCAGCACACGCAGCTGGGACGGAATGGGAACGGATACGGGTATCAATACCAAGCCCATATTAGGTGTAAGCTGCGAACGTCCATCATACTTACAGTTCTGCATCTGCACTGATAACGAGCTCTTCACTTCACTCAACGCCGACGTAATGTCACCCAACTGCTCTTCTGTGGTACCCAGCAATGACTCGAACACATGACGGAATAAATCTCGTGTATTACTTCCTGAGTAACCCGAAATGGACAACTCCAGAGCCATCTGCCCCTCGTTCATAGGTGACGTCAGATTAACTCCAAATGAGATACCAGCCACTGCCGCCTCGTTACTCACTGCCCGTAGTCTGTTAGCTAAACAGCGCAACATGATCCGGCCTAGTAACATCTTGCTTAGAAACCCACTATCTTCCCAGCTACGTCCAACTGCCGCCGTAATGGTTCCGCGAGTGTAAATCTTGCCTACATCTGTCTCCGTCGGTTGCAAACAAGGCAAGAAGAAACGTGTGGTGACTTGTACAGATCCCGCCACATCTGTTGTATGTCGATGCAAGTATAACTGCACACTCTTGGGCAATTCATTCTCGCCAACACGCATCAACGTCTGAGATGGTGTTATAACTGAGACCGTTTCATGCTCCGTCAAAGATGTCGCTGGTATTCGGAAAGCAGATTCCAGACGTCGCAATTTCAAGTCCTCTTCCTTAGGCAGATATCGATTATGTTGCTGCACCGAGAAACTTGTATCGAAACATTCCGCACCCCAAATAGAACCATGACGCTTCAAATGGTACCGATCCACCTCCGTACCCGCTGCCGCACAACTTGGAGACGGACCCTTCGTCCCACCCTGAACCACGTGTTTGCTCGCCGTCACTGACCTCCCGCTCTTGCTTCGAGGAGAAGTCATTTTAGCTCCCGCCATTCCCGCCGCCGCTTCGACGCCAATGCTGCTAGGCGTCTGAGGTGGAACCGGCATATTGCCCCCCTGGTCGGAACCGTCCGCCCGGAAATACTCACCTAGCTTATCTGGCAGGTTACAGATCGTATATTTCGTACCGAACCATGGATCCGTCTCCCAAATTAATTGAGTACTATTCTCGCTCATATCACCTCTCAAAATTGCATCTGCCCGAACTTGATCCTTGTTGAGCAACCAACTACCACGATGTGATACCCATTCCGGATACTGTTTCTGACTAAACTTTGGACCAGCCAAAATACAGATAGCGTTCTCAATCGTGAAATGCTTGTTCACCAATTCCCCTATAGCAGCAGCCATATCCTCCGCCTCTAGATCCGGCGCTGGGTCAATGATTATTTCCGCCAGTCTTGACTCGTCATCGATACGCCGTTTCAATGTAGTGGACATCCTGGCAGCAATGTCATTCGCCAATGACAGCGCATCCGGACCAGCAGTTGACTGATACTGGAATTTTTTGATGACCTTGAAGTCTTCGAAGGGTAGGAAATTTTTAGGGTCCTTAGCACACTCGTGTGCGAGCAATTTTAAATACGTAAAAAGCGCTCGGCCAATCCTTCTCATTAATCTAAGCCATACAACTCCTTGCGTTACAGGATCTTCACCTTTCATACCTTCCGGATCGCCTTCCTCAGTGTAATATTCATTAACCAGAAATTCGATATCAAAGAAATTCTGCCCAAAACCGCCATATGACCGGCAACCAGAAACGCCATATGTAAGACCTTTTTGATGAAGGACAGTTAAGAAGCTACCAGGTGCTTGTTGCCGGAACATATGGCTTATAAAGCTCATTGCGTGCTGCATTCTCATCGGATTAGTAAATTCGGGAAGAACAAATCTGAATTCGCATTTCCATTCATAGGCATCCAATATAAGCAAGCTAGGTAGATTCTTCCCTTTATGAAATGCTAAAGGAAAGGGTCGTTTAAGTGCATGAGGTTTGCAATTGTCTCTGGTTGGAGTACAGGTTCCTAATTCAGATTCGATTGCGCAATCAAGAGACATTTTAATAAGTTCCTCCACTGAGTGGCTGGATACAATGACCAAGTTGGTATCTTGTTGCTTTAGAATATTATTATGGAATTCCAGACAACGGTCTTGGATATCTGGGTATTTCTTTTCACTCAATGTACCACTGTTTCCACAGGTGAAACAATTGTGCCACGGGTTCGCTGGGTGGCAGATTTTTTTCAACAAGGATACCACACGCACCTCGTATTGTTCACACATGCCCGCGTACTCCTCATCTACCGAAAGCATTTCCCTTTCCAGTTCTGCCTTGTCGCCATAGTGTTTTCGTTTGTACATACAGGTGAGCATCATACGCAATGCACCAAGCACGAACTTGGGCGGGACTGTAAACCACATACGCATGTCCGAGTCTGTTGTGCACGCATTTGAATCCCCGTTCCTGTCAGCAAACCATTGACGTACGTCATCGGCGTCCGGCGTCGGCTTCGAATAAATCAAGTGTTCCACCAAATGCGCGATCCCTTGTGGCCGACCAGGCTCATTTGGGTACAACACGTTCTCCCACAATGTCCCGCTAATGGTCGAAATCGCAATTCCCGCCAACGGGACGTCACTCTTATATTGAACAAATACACACCGACATTTGGGCGCTCCGGCTCTGCTGCCACCAGCGGTTCCGTCCCCCAATAGGTCCAAAAGGTTATCAACGTACACCGCTTTGCTAATAAGTCGCTTATAGTCTTGAGGAAGACTTTCCAGGTCGATTGAGATCGGCTCCCGATCCGGCAACTCAGGAGGTGTGACCCCGCTAAGCGGGGGTGGTGTCAAGTCCGAAGGGAGCGTCCGAGGACTCCTGCTATTCTCGTAGTTGATCGCATTCCCGACACCAGATGCAGAATGGGAGTCCCTTGATGGCGAACAACCCATTTTCGATTTAATAATGGCGGACCCCTTTATCCTACTCAGGTTCTGCGGCCTTTGCAAAGTAAGCCAGCGTGCACCCTGCACCTCACACCCTTAGTGCGGTATTATTCACCACAGTGGCAACGGCCCTCGCGTGCTTAAACTTTATCGCACACTTTTACTGCACACACGTGTGTTTCTTCACACTGTTAGGAAAAACGAGTGTACCAGGATCAACCCCGATGGTGGGAGACTGCGGCCATTGACAACGATATGCCCACACCACAAACCACTGTTGCAGTACGCCCCAGACAGAGCAGGCGAACCGCCCGAAATCGAAACTAATGGTGCAACAAGCCGTCAGTACAAGACTGCCTGTAACCACTAACAAACTCCACGGGACGTAGGTGGGAAAGGTAGGCGTCCGTGAGAGAGGTAGGCGTCCGTGAGAGATAATGTAAGGGGGAAACAAGTCAGTCGCTAATTACCCGACCTGGTGTTCTTTCTCTACCAAGCTCACCCACCCTCAACCGCGGTCTGGGGGCACCCTCTACCGCGGTCTGGGGGCACCCTCAACCGCGGTCTGGGGGCACCCTCAACCGCGGCCTGGGGGCACCCTCTACCGCGGTCTGGGGGCACCCTCTACGGGGGGCAGTTTTGTTTGTAAGACTTCTGGCTAGTGTTGCCTGCGAGCATCTCGTACGAATCTTAGAGGCCATCCCGGGAATTTACAGGTCAATGCACCCGCCGTGGGTCAGTTGCCGGCGTCGGCGGCCCCCGGTTACCTGTTAAAAAAACCGTAGACATGTGCTCGGTCTTTCTCATGGTGGTTGGCCGATGCTTCTGTGGCCGCAAGAAGACGGCCAAAGGAACCGACAGCAAGACGAGACCAGCCAATAAGGTTCCACGAAAGTCCGTCAAGACATGAGGGAGTCATAATGGAGTGCATCAGGAGCCGAGGGCCTCCAAATCTACAGACCTCAAGACACAAAATTACTCACCCTGTGGAGCTTTCAATACACCAGTACAATCCACACAAAACATGATCTGTGCCGTCAGGCAAGGTGGAGGAAAACGAGGTGAAAAAGCGTGGTGGTTCCGAAAGGGGGTGGTGGTTCCGAAAGGGGGTGGTGGTTTTGTGAGGGTGCTGATGGTTTTGTGGTCAGGCAGCTTTCCCCCCGGCAGCTTTCCCCCCGGCTATATTTTGCGTTTAAGAACTTGTTGCCTATATTCCTCAAAGTCGCCTTTGAACCGTTGAAGTGTTTGGGTTTTAGGTTCCAGGTGGTAGACGTCTTCAGTGGCGCAGGATAGGAGGTGTGTGTCATGGCTGACGATGATCACACCACCTTCGAAGGTGTTGAGTGCTGCTATAAGGGCTTGTACGGCGTCAAGATCCAAGTGATTGGTAGGTTCATCGAGAACGAGAATGTGTGGTTCATCGAAGGCCATGAGTGCAATAGCAACCCGAGATTTCTGTCCGCCTGATAAGATGAACATAGGTTCCAGAGCGAGTAGGCCGCTGATACCGAAGCGGCCTAGATAGCTACGTGCCTGTGCATCAGTGAGTTTGGCGTCGGGGTATTTTTCTTGCAGTTGTTGGACTGCATTTTTGGTCAAGTCCAAACCATCAACATGATGTTGCGCAAAGTGACCTATCTTCAGCTTATTGTGCCGAAATACAAATCCCTCGACCGGCTCTAACTGACCCAGTAATAGCTTTAGGAAGGTAGATTTACCGCTGCCATTGACACCGCAAATAGCAGCTCTCGTCGTCAAGTCCGCCGAAAAGTCCACGTTCCGTAACAGCAGGTCGTCCTCGGACGTCTCCGCCGTTCCCGTCTCCGCCTTGCCCGTCTCCGCCTTGCCCGTCTCCGCCTTGCCCGTCTCCGCCTTTTTCGCGGACTTGGCATAGGAGAAGTTGACTCCCTGCATTATGAGGATAGGAGTGGGCAATTCGGCCGGTGTCATGAATTTGAACTGTAGTTGTGGGTCGTCGGTGATGCTTTCGAGCATGGGTAGTTTTTGCAGTTGTTTAATGCGCGATTGGACAAGAGAAGCGCGCTTTGCGTTGTAGCGGAAGCGGTCTATGAATTTTTGGATATGGGCGACCTTGCCTTGTTGGCTTTCTATTTCACGTTGCAGGTGCATTTCCTTGTCGGCCTTGGCACGTTCGAACACGTCGTAGTCACCACTGTAGTAGGCGAGTTTGCGATCCTTGAATTCCATGATATCTGTACAGACGTCATTAAGGAATTGCCGACTATGTGATACTACGATGATAGTTTTTGTTGATTGTCGTAGATACTGCGTTAACCATGCCACAGCATGAATGTCCATGTGGTTAGTGGGTTCATCAAGACAGACTATGTCTGTATCGGCGAACAACACACGTGCGAGCATCACACGCGCGCGCCAACCTCCCGATAACTCGCGGATCTTCATTTCTTTGTACTGCTTCACACTCAGACCCAAACCGTCGAGGATCATGCATGCTTGCGCCTCCGCCTTGTCTGCGTCTATCTCCTCCAACCGGCGATACAACCAAGCCAGCCGTTTGCCAACTTCTTCCGACTCTTCTTCCTGACTGAGACGGTGCTCTTCAGCCACGAGCGAGACCCGTTCTTCATCAACCCGCAAGACGCTCTCCAACGGTGTGTAATCCAAGTGGTCGTCAAAGTCCTGTTCCACACAACCGATGTTAATGTCTTTGTCGACGCCGGGAATTTCTTTGCGCACGAGTGCGCTCAAGAACGTGGTCTTACCAATGCCATTGCGTCCAATGAGGCCGTAGCGGTGGCCTAAAACAAGTTTAAGCTCAGCGTCCTTCAATAACTCACGTCCGGCCACGGCTACACTGAAGGTTGGGATCATGATGTCTTTCAACTTGCTCAACGTCTGGTCACCATGTCGTCGTCTAGGCGGAGGCAGAGGTACACGGCTCTTCTCCCATTGGCGCATCATACGCAGCTGTTTCTCGCGCTTCTTTGCTGCCGCCTTAGCGATCTTCATTGACTCCTCAATAGGAATCACCACATTGAACTGCCCATTCTGCACCTTCTCCATACCCAAAAACGGGTCCTCGTAACCACAACCCTGCTGACTCGCCATAGCCACCTCCACCTGACTCGCACCCGCACCCGCCGCTACCGCCGACTCAGCCTCAATCGGTCGCCTCTCCACCTTCACACGGATCAAGTCGCGCACTCTCAACGACCCACAAGGTACTTTCAACCGCCTCAAAGTCAACGCCTCTGCGTCCTCATCCTCCACAGCCTGACCCGTAGCCAATACCAATACCGACTTGGACAGCTTCACGCTTTCCGCCTCACTCGACACCAACTTCCAGTCCCACAAAAAACTTCCCAACAACTCGTTCACGCGCTCGGCCGCTGAATCCAACTCCTCGTCTTCTTTATACTGGAACTCCCGCGTCAACAACCCTGGCCAAAATACCGTCATTCAAACCATGTGTGCGCACGTATGTGTGTGCGCACGTACGTGTGTGCGAAGCGTGTGCCGTATATTAGGTGTGCCGTATATCAGGTGTATTGAGGGTGTCATATATTGGGGGGTGCAGACTTACCTGCGACGTATTGTTGGTCGTCGGTGGCCTTGCAGCCGATGGTTTGCAAGGCCTGGATGACGTCCACCTTGTCAAACCCCATTTTTAAAATTGTGCCCACAATGTCATGGTTGTCAGGACTGATCTTGCACTCTTCCTAATTCTGGCCCAAACTACCCTCTTCGGATCCTGCTACCTAGCAAGTCGTCGTTGTCTTGGTGGCAGCTACAAGACTTTGGCCTTTACTTCTGGCGTCCTCTTCAGCACCGGCGCATTCGTCTTGTTCCCCCACGCTCGGCATCCGCACACACATCTGGAATACGTCCAAGAAGCAAAAGGAGAGACTTCAAGACAACAACTCGATCCGTCCTTACAACTCGCTCCATCCTTACAACACAACACGTATGAGACAGATGATGGTCGTTTGGGTCTGAACGGAAAGACTTACGGAATTGATACCAAAGAGATGCATGACATCGACCGGATTGATAGCAACCAGGTGGATAACCGGACAATGGCGGCGGCAAATCGTTCGCAGAATCGCTTACCATTGGGGGGGATACCGGATGAGGCGCTTGAGAGACAACCGGTACAGATGCGGGGAATAAGTGTAGGGCCTCCTATGCCTTTGCTGTATGATCCGAACGGGTCCCCGGTGATATACGATCGTCGTCGTTTGTTGTATGCGGAGATTGAGCACCAAAGTTATGAGGCTTGGCCGGTAGTGGGAGTCTTGGTAGGTTGGTTGATAACTAACTGGCTGAGTCAACTGGCCGGTTCGAGTGAAACAGGCAAGATGTGTCTGCAGAGTGCTCGCGACACTACCTTGTTGTTCGCCCCGAGTAACGGTGTCCGTGGGGCGATTGCGCTTACGCTCGTTGCCCAGAGCTTCGTACATGGGCGTCGGGCGGCGGCCGCGGCCCAGTGCTCGGATTCGAACGACATAGGATACCGCCAGGTGCCTTACAAGGATTTCGGTTACAGCCGAACGGGCTGCTATGTACAGTGCCTTCTGTTATGCCTCAGCTCCGTGCTTTCATTCACGCTCTCTTCGGCGATGGCGACATACTTCGAAAAAAGCTCCGAACCGAACAGCCCCGGGTTCGATTCCCTAGCTCTGCACTCCACTCTTCCCGCCCAGCCGAGCTTCACATGCAAATGTGTCTACACGCTTTGGACCGGCATGCTGCTGTCGGACGGCGTCAAAGACCTTCTGGGCAGCGCTCTGAAAACTGACCCACACGCAACAAGGTTCTGTTTCCTCGGCATGCTCGCCGTTGCACTGGTCACATGCCTATGAACAAGCCAGTGTGTGCGACCACACCTGCAGGACGAGTGCGACCACACGAGTGCGTTAAGACTAGAAGGAAAGGTCACATAGAGAGGCGAGAAGTTTTTGGGTTTCTTTAGTCATTTCCAACCAGTGCTCTTCCAGTAACTGTTCATATACGCAACTCGGTGGTTCATTCGGGAACACACACCTATCTTGTCTAAACAAAGGAGATGTAGCATGTGGGGATCACCTGATGTAGCATGGGGATCAGCTTACATCACAACTGTGCCGAGAGGACAGGATGGCAGAGTAGTTTCAACAGGTGCGTTGTCTTTGGTCGCAGCAAGGTGTTCTGCAAGCCACTTGAAACTGAACGGAGCGGATTCCTGCGATGTTTCTTTGGAATAGATGTCCAAGTTCCTCTTGGAGTTGAGCAATTGAGCTATGCTATCAGAATCCGCCTAGAACATGGATATTACCTGCCGCTGTATGGCGATGGTCAACTCAGTAATACATGGGTGTACAAGTATACATGATGGGTATACAAGTATACATGATGGGTATACAAGTATACATGATGGGTATACACAAAAGGGTGTGATTTACATGAACGACTTGAGTATCAACTGCTTGCTTTATGTTTGATTGTATCCATGGTGAGCTCCACGGCACTATTTTCTGGTCCTTATCTTTAAGTAGTTTGTCAGCTTTTGAAGCTGCTTGATCAGTCCATGAATCAATATATGATTTGTATTGTGTTAATGAGTGGGTGGTAACCGGGTAGTTCGGTTGGGTTAGGTCTATCGGATCAGGTACCGATTTAATATCCCCTAACTGCATTTTCAGATGTCGGGTCCGACAAGTAAGTAACAAGGGGACGGCTATAAACCATAAGCGCACTGTTGTGTATAATATATCAATAACGTGTATTACAGAGGGTAAGCAGTTGAAGTTTACAAGTCAGAATCAGACGTTGTATTATACGGAGAAGCCTTTACGACAGAGTTTGGTGTCACGTTTACGTTTGAATGGTGGTGTGTTAAAGGAGTCGATAACAAAGGAGGCATTTGTGAGTGCTTTGATTCAGCGTTTGAAATTAAAGGGATCGACGGAGCAGTACGAGAAATTATTTGATGAAGTAGTACAGAGACGTCGTGTGAGTGGAGATCGTGTGGAATGGGAGCAGTTGGTGGATAGTCTGTTGAATCATCGTGCTCAATTTGTGGGTGAATATCATCGGGCATTAGAGGACTATCGGAATGTGCAAATGATGGGAGAGAAGGCGGTGAAAGAATTGAGTGAAGGAGAGCGTATGGGAGATCATCGGTTGGTTATTCATCTGCAGAGTCTTACATTCGATTATGGTGAGAGTGAAGATGGTGATTTATTGAGTTCATCTGCAATGCTATATCAATTAGAAGTAGAGTTATTGGACTCACATGATGTACAGGAAAGCGACCTTGTTAAAGCTCAAAAACATTGTATATTCAATGAGTTCATGACCTTCCCACTCGCTACACCATCAGCTGTATTACGTTTCAAATTAATGAGAGAACCAGCTACCGCAATTGATCCCCAACAACGAGAGATCTGCGGTTCGGGAGAACAGAGTCTTAAAAATTTGCAAAATATGATCCCTCTTATCTTTGATAATGTACCTATAGATGCAAGCGATAATGGTGTCGCACATCTAGCATTCTCCGCACTCTGGCAATTCGATCGAGAAGCTTATTATCGATCTGTTCTTTCCAGTCTTGATAGCCGACTTAATGCATTACATGTCGCCGTTCAGGTACAACAAAGTAACGTTGATGAACTTGATAAACAACTCTTTGGATACCCCGTAGAAAATACCAAATGGACACATGTATTACTCTCACCTAACGCCGCCATGGACGCATCCGTCAGCCTCATGCAACGCATCGCAAAACGAGACATCAACGACTCCATACAAGTCGGCCTTATTATCACTCTTATGATTTCATGCATCAGTCAATTCGCTCGCGGAAGCTTCATTGAAACACTCGTTCTACTCACATGCATCTGGCACAACAACGGTACTACTACTCTACTCACACTGTCATACTACCCACTACCCACACTGTCATACTACCCACTACACACACGGGCATACTACCCACTACCCACACGGGCATACTACCCACTACCCACACGGGCATACTACCCATACGGTACCACTACCCATACGGTCAATATGTTCTTTCCTTTAAGAACCTCGAATACGTTGGACCAAAAAGAGTTACCTAAACTGTATTCTTGCCCTTTTAATGTAAGCTTGATATTAACTATATTATGTTGTTATACAGGTGTGTCATTTTGGACTGTATATGGCTACGCTATACATTCCTTGTAGTCGCCAATCCAGAAGTTGGTTCAATTCTCTATCCAACAAAAATTGCAACACCTTTCAGTATAACTACAAAGGTAACTTGACCTATCTACGAAATGTACCGTACATGTATTCAACTTTAGATCATTGTAAGTCTCGCGTTGTTGAAATGCCGAAAAGATCTCTAAGTTGAAAAAGATCTCCTCTATTTCTCATAAAGGTCAATTCCCGTAAACATGGATCCCACGAATTTTCTCCCTTCATTTAACATATCTGGCATCATTTTGTGATCCCATTTGCTCTCTAGCACAGACACCGTATTCTCCGTTGTCGACTTTTTGAAGTACGACTGATTTAACTCCATATTGCTTGAAGCCAAACAATTGAGGAATATGCGGGATGGGGACAGTGGGAGATACCAATCGTGGGTCAGCCATCAGAAGCATATGAGGGAATGTAGTACCAAAGAAAGCCCCGTCAATATCTGAAGCACCAATCTCAATTTCAAAAGTGTGTGCTAAAGTGTGAGAAACACATGCGGTTGGTAAAGGTGTGAAGACGTATTTGTCAAGGGTGTGCTTGGTAAAGGTTTGTTTTACAGATCTGTATTCCATCACTGCCCTCATCGATGAGACTGTTGGGCGGCGAGGAGTAGGAGTCGTCGTCGTCCTCGCTGGAAATGAGCTCGCGTCTGCGCACCAATTCTCCCCTGGGTATGTACACTTCTTGACAGTTGGGGCAGTAGACCCGACACCTGTGTTGTCGGAGTTCCTCGCTGATGCCAATGGGCAATACCGCTTGCTTCTGGCATAGAATTCGAGGACACACTCCGAAAACACCTTCTTTATACTTCTGAGCCATAATGGTAAGTCCTGTCTGAGTCAAGATGTATCTTGCGTGAATCAGTCCATATAACTCGACAGCCTCGTTCAGAGCGAGCCTTGATTCTTCAGTTAACGAGCCTGCAGGAAACCCCCGTTTACATGTCCCCATACACACCAATGACATGTGTGCACACACACCCATGACATGTGTGCACACACACGCCATATTTCAAGCATCACCTACTCAGGTCATGTGGCGGAATTTCATCTCCGAGTATCACTCGCGTGGCGACGGCGTAGTCCTTGAATTTCTATAGAAGAAGATTAATCGGTGTGATGCGTTACGGTGCATCAATCGGTATGAGACCGTGGTGTATTGGGAGGGTATGAGACCGTGGTGTATGGGGAGGTATCAGACCGTGGTGTATGGGGAGGTATCAGACCGTGGTGTATGGGGAGGGTATGAATGATGGCATACTGGTTTGAGGCCGAAGAGGTTGAAGGCATCCCTGATAAATTCTGCCTCAACAGGTGCGAAGATTTGGTTTCCCTTGAGTGAGCAGAACCATAGTATCCATGGTGTGCTGGCAGACATTTGTTGTGAAGAATTTGCGTGGGGTAAAATGGTGAGGCGAGTAACCTGCGGGTTTAAGCCATTAGGTGGTGCTCGGTTGGTAACCGAGGCTCCATTGCAGGGCTCCAGTGAGGGCTTACTATTGCCTCAGATTGCCTTCACCCAGATTGATAATATAGTTAGTTTCTTCAATGTTACGACAGACGAGCGCATAGAAGGTTGCCTACGATTACCAGAAACGATTCTGGTTTGTCAAGTATTTCTACCCACAGATGAGGCAACAGTTGGACATATAGGCCTCATGCTCGTCACGCCATCCATGAGTAAGTCATCCATGTCTACGCACTGATCGTACATATATACACACACAACGTGTTCACTATTTGTACATATATACAACTGTATGTACAGTGTATGTATATGGTGTCGTCAGTGAAGTAGTCAGTGAAGTAGTCAGTGAAGTAGTCGGTGAATGTTTGGACGAGTCCGCAAACGACCTACAAACGGTGGGTCCTGCCGTGGGTGACAAGAGAGGTGAGGTGCTCACGATTCCAGTGGACGAAAGATTAAGGGCCAAGATATATGGACGGTTTAGAGCTCCGCTGGACCCCACCTGGAGAGCCAGCAGCTCGTGTGTGCTAGGCCATCGAATATTTGTGGCATTTGAAGCGCAACCATTGAAAGAAGTGATCTTCGTAGCAGGCGGAGTCGAGATTCGAGCAGCAGTGCCTTCCAGCTATGGACCCCTACGGAGTGTCATGTGTTCTTTATTCGGAACTGGCAAACAGGAAAGCGCTGCAAACCCGCAAGGTGTAGTGTTGGTTCGTTCATGCTACAATAATTGCGCAGGGATTGTGGTTACTGTGGGGGAGAATGGCCAAGTCGTCTTCCATGCTGCGGGTCGGTATTATAAGACTCCTTTCATCGATAAGGGTCCACTTGTGCTGAGTCGGGTTGACCGAGGTCAGCTTGAGCAAGGAACTGTCACTTCCCCTGCTATTCCGAGGTTCCTGAGTCAATCCTTGAGGTTATTATTACCGTTGCTGACACCGGTATGTAGTGGTTCAGAAAGGGTGTTGGATGTTGGTGTACAGGTTGGTCAAACGGATTTGGAGTTTGTAGTGACTATTCTGACTTCGAAGAATAGAGCAGTGCGCCTCTTATTGGAGCTGGAGAGCGGCGATGTAAACGTGTCTTCGGTCCAGGCTGCCGTCGTGGGCTCGCCGGTGTACCCCTTACCTGTGTCTCCACGGATTGAGAGCGACTCTGTGGGACGGCAAATGGGTCAGGTGTTGCTGGCGAGCAAGTCCACCGTGTTCAGCGAAGTCAAACGCTGGTGCTTGGGTCCATTCTGCTTCACACGTGCGTGTTACGATTGTCGGCTGCCCGTTCTCACAATCGAATTGGACAAGGCCATCGCGCCGATTCTCCACAAAGGCCCATGCGTGGCGTCCGCGACCTCCTACGTCACCCCTTGTCTGGTCCAACATGTCCTCGACCTCTCGCAGCTGACCGCAAATGGACGCTCTGGCTTCGCAAGTGAATGGCGAAGATACATAACTGGCTACCAATCGTCCGTTGGGGAACGAGCGCTGTACCAGATTGCTGCCTCACGCTTGCTAGCCCATTCCATGCCTCTGTGCCTCCAGACCTCCGACCGAGACGCATTCCGAGATGCATTTCGACGCCAGTTTCTCGTTCTCGCAACGGACCAGAAATGGCTGTGTACAGTAACCATCTATTCGGACGAACTTCCGGGAGCACCCGCTGGGGTATGCAAGACCCTGGCTGACCTCTTAATAGACTACCGAGATAAGCCTGTCTCTCTCCCGCCATTGCGCTATGACCAGACAAATAAGCCGCACTCTGAAACGAGGTTGATGGAACGAATCTCAAAACAGGCGGTTTCGGGACCGGCGGCATTAGAGCCGAATCAAACCTTGGCGGATATCCTCAACTCGTTCTATCATCAGTGGTTCGATGACATTCTTAACGAACCGTTATTCGAACTCTGCAACCATTCGAAGCATAGCTGTAGCTCGCACCACCGACTTCGGGTTACCGAGTCAGTTGCTGCGCGGTTTAACTCACTACGAAGCACTTTGGAAGGCTTGAGGAGATTATTGCGGAGTCAGATCTGGCTCGACCAGTTGATACGGCCTGGTTCAAGTGCTGTGGCAGAGGCGATTGGAAAGGTATTGCGATGCTCAGAATTGAGCGTTCTGATAGTCTACATTGAAATACTAGGCACTGATGAAAAGATATTCGTCGAAGATTGCCCACGGCCCTTGGCCCGGCGGCTACCGCTTGCAATAGTGCTAAAGTACCCTGAAATTATGCATCCGGTCGTGGCCTCTTGGTTCCAGCTTCTCTATCCGTGTGTTTCCACGCTGCTTGAAAGAAGTCCTCAGTATATGCCACGTTACGTTGTCTATGACTTCATCAGAAAGCATCCTGAAATGTGCGCCGACCACGTCCTAACGTGGAGAAAGGAGGAGGATTCCTCAACGGGTCATTCCTTCGTTCCCCAGATGCTCCGAGCATTAATTGAGAAGGCTGTAAAGGCCGAGGACACTATCGTCAACAAGGCAATGGGTAATGAGGACATGGGTGGTGAGGAGATGGGTAATGAGAATGTGGATGTTGAAATTCTGGGTGATGGTCGGAATAGCACAGGTGGCGAAAAAGCAGGCTGGAACAACATGCGTCTTCTTCGGTTTATGCGTTTGATTACCTCTCAAGACGGCACCTTGTATGACGAGACGGATGGCCGGCTTGAGTTCGTTTCTACCCTTCACGACTTGGAGCCAAAGTGTGCCTTCGGGCTGGTTAGGGACTTGTTGACCTTGGTAGATGTCGGTTCTGATGGTCAGGAGGTCGTCGAAGGTCAGGAGGTCGTCGAAGGTCAGGAGGTCGTCGATGGCCAGGAGGTCGTCGAGGGTCAGGAGGTCGACGAAGGTCAGGAGGTCGTCGAAGGTCAGGAGGTCGTCGAGGGTCAGGAGGTCGTCGAAGATCAGGAGGTCGTCGAAGATCAGGAGGCCGTCGAAGGTCAGGAGGTCGTCGAAGGCCAGGAGGTCGTCGAAGGTCAGGAGGCCGTCGAAAGTCGGGAGGTGGACAACAGAATAAAGAACGCCTGGCTACTTCCTGCCCTGTTTAACTGGTCTGAAGACAGCGCGATCCACCGAATGGCGCCGAGACCAGGGTCCTGGTCCGGTGGTGGTCAATCGGCACCGGCGGAGTCACTTTCAGTGGAGTCGGTCTCGGGTGAGTCCTCATCGGCGTCGTCCTCGGATAAACTGGATGGCGTCCTGGTGAATTACTACGGGAGCTTCGACGGGTTGTTGCTGACTGCTATGCTGCAAGATGCCAGGGCTCGTGCATTGTTGGACCCTCCGCCTCCAGAGGGAGGGTCGCGGCTGCCCGTTGGTGAATTGCCGGAGCATCTGCGTGTGGTTTCATTGGAGGAGACGTTGCGTTTCTTACAACAAAACAGTCGCACGATAGTTCCTGTGCGACAGCTTATCTCCTGTCTGGCTGTGATGAATGCGCGATGTTGGATTGGTTCGGAAACGATGGCTCTGTTCGTGGCCGTCATTCTCCGAGAACTGGTTCCGCTGCCGACTGTGTCGAATCAAGTGGTTAGGGCGGCGGCCGTGTTCGTCACTGACTTCCTTTCCCCGTCCGGGTCCATCGCCACCATGGCCACCACGGACGCCATGGCTGCCACGGACGCCGTGGCCACCGCGGACGCCGTGGCCACCGCGGACGCCATGGCTGCCGAACCGAATTACCGGTGTTTGAAACAAAGCTTTGACGTACAGGAAGTCGCACACACCTTGATTGCCAGACAGGGTATATATAAAGTGTCGACCAATTACGAGTGGGAGGCACGTCGCCTCATTTCGTTGTACGACCAAGTCGTTCGACCGCTGGAGTTGCACCTAGACCGACTGAAGGACGCTCCGAATACGGAGCTGCGGGATGCGGAGCTGCGGGATGCGGAGCTGCGGGATACGGAGCTGCGGGATACGGAGCTGCGGGATACTGAGCTGCGGGATGCACGGAATCACACGCCGGTGACAAGGAATTTAGCTGCCTTGCCGGGCGGTGAAGAGGAGCTGATTGAGCTCTTCCAGTATGCAGAGGCCGGCAGGGCGGCTGGGAAGAAGCTCTTTTCAGTAGTAGTAGATTGTCCGGGTGAACGTGAATTCATCGTGCATAGATTGGGCTTGAACCTACCCTACTCAGTTATGTGTCCATTGCTGGAGAGATGCGGCCTGTTGATGGAGAAGCTATTGTTCCTAGCACATGCGCTGGAATACGGTAATGAGTCGGATGTGGTGGCCAGACACGCTTGGGAAACCCTCCTGATGTGCAAGAAGCAGTATGGCGCTGAACAGATGCAAGCCGTACGGTCTGCGGACTCTCTGAGGAAGCTGCTCACACACGTGTTCAACAACCCAATGATACGGTGTGCAGCAAAAAGGTTCATGCAGTCAAGCTCGGAAGAGTGTCTGGAGCACATACCGCTAAAACAGTACATCGAAGCACCTGAGGACTATGGGCAAGCAGGGGACGACGAAATTCGGGTTGTGATGAGACTGATTTTTAAATACGAATGAATAAACTGCTAGCCGATCGACGGTACAATGTTGGCGACATAATTCTTAGAGTAACCCACCCTGGAGCCATCCTGATGGGAAGTCCCAATCAAGACACCGCATCATCCTCTTACCACGAGGTCCCCACCACAAGGCATCCCGCGAAGAAATTCTGCGGTACCTGGCAGAAATCAGTTCAGTTGGAATTCGTGTGCACACACTTTATAATCGATCCTTTGTAGGAGAAACCGTTGATAAAATGCCGCGTTGAGCTCAAGTCTGCTTACAAAAGGTTTCTTATGCTGAGTCCAGACGAGCTTAGGGTGTTAGAATCATACGACGTTTACACTGAATCATTGGACAATGAAAGGAAGCTAATTTCAGGTTTCTTACCAGCAAACCATCCCAATGTCGAGCCGTTCTTGTGGTTCATCGGGTTGATGAAATGCTACGCTCACGGAACGCCGAAGGGGGAGAATCTCTGGCTCCTTTATCCGAGGGGAAATCGCGCTACTCATTCGTGCGCTCCCAATGCAATTTATAGGAATGACAATGGAGACCTGCTTTACATCGCAATAAGGGATATCCAGACTTCTGAGCCGATTACAATTAGCTATATTGGCTGCTTGTACGGGTCCACTATTTCGCGTCAGGAGAGACTGTTACTACTCAAAATGCTTTCGTGTTCCTGTTCCAAGTGCACGGCTCCCATTGATAAGGCAAGAAGGATTTGGTGTCCCCACTGCAGAACCAAAGAAGAGGACGGTGGCACCCCGGCCTTCGCTGTTTATTGCGGTCAAAGCAAGGATGTCAACCTCCCTCAGATTGAGGCAATCAGAAACGTAATATCAACACGGGGGCTAATCGCGTTAAGCCGGCCGAGAGCCTGATGGGGCAAAGAAACTGAGGGAAGCTGGTTCAATGAAAAAATCGGCAAGCGAAGGCGAGTGTTGGTGCGCGCACACGTGTGCGGCAAATATATGGTCGCCATTTGAGTCGTCGTTTCGGTCGTCGCTGGGTTTAATTTTCTTCTTCTTGGCAGTTGAATAAGACAGCGGAAACCGATGGATGGTGGATGTGTACGAAGTGCAAGTTGCCTTTGGCGGATGCGGTGATGCCGCTACAGATGGAAGAGACGTTGAATTCTTTGTATGAGAATTTGTCCAAGTCAATGGGTCTGGAGGAGCAGAATAAGTGGATGCAATATTTGACGTATTTGTATCGGACCACATTAATGGTACTGGGCCCCATGCACTGGCTGGTTGGTGGGTGCTACTTTTTGTTTAGCAAGTTTTACGCGAGTGCCTGGAAATCAGCGATGGCAACCAGCGGCAGCAGCCCGGCTGACGCTAAGACATATGGTGATCTATGTGTGTCTAACGGCATCAAGTACTTGGATTTTATCGAGGCCATATTCCCAGACGACAATGCCATTTTATACACGGACGGCGCACCTTGGGCGACAGTTTTAATGCGCATTTCTCTAGAGGCATGTGAATGGTCGCAATTTTCGCAACTTGCGGGTCGCTACGTACAAAAGTGTAATGTAGTCTACGGAGTCGCCGACCCTATGATGCAGGTCTTTTATCAGGCCGTTGTCACCATGCACCGTCTTGGCCCGTCCAACCCGACATTACCCAGCGCAATTCGCGGCCTGCTCGACAACTACAAGAACTCCTCCGCCCAGAACGGAACGACAGTGGAACCTGACGAGGTCACTAGAAGCACAACCCATCTCGAGAAGAACTTTAACCCTCTCATCAAGCCCTGGCTTCGCAGAACCCACGTTGCGCCCGGACTACAAACAGAACTACATAAAATCTCTGAAACCAGAAAGAGAGCTCTTGCCGCCGTCTTCGGCAACCCCGCTGCCCCTCCCGCCGCGCCCGCTGTACACAACACCCTCCCCAGTCTCCCCCTTCTCCCAGCCTCCCCCTTCCCCTCACTTGTGTGTCTTTCGCAGATGACCGGTATGGCTCCCTCAAGTGTACGTCCCCCGGCCGCCACAGCTACTATACGGCCCACGGTCGCAGAGTATTTGAGTCCTCAATACTTGGGCAGTGCCCCGCTCAAGTCTCCTACTTTCGGCTCGCCTGCTCAGTCGACTCAATCGGGCGCCTACATCACGTCTGACCCAACGGCGTCGGTGCCGTCCTACGTAGTCACGCGGCAGGGAGTCGCTACGCAGCCGGTGGTCCGGGCCGCCTCGCCAGGTCTCTACTCCCCTGCAGGTGTCTACTCCCCGAATCAAACTCCAGGGGTAAGCTCCCCGGTGTTTTCGCCTGCAGTGCCGCCCCACCGGACCAGTCCCAACCGTGTCGGGCGTCGAAGTCCGGGTCGAACGAGTGCGCCTTCGCAGCCCCCGTGGCAGTCGACAGCAACGCGTTCAGGCGAGGCCACGGCGCGTGTCGTTTCACACGCTCGCGCCCTAGGCGCAGGTTCGAGGCACTCGCGCGGCACGGGGTCTCACGGCGCCGTGTCGCTGCCTGGCGCCTCCTCCTCCTCCACAACCACGCCGCCGCTCTTGCCGGGCAACACACGACTCGCTGACATGCATGGTTCCCGGGACGCGGGGTACAACGCTCCGGGCGCGAAGAGTGGGTACCCAGGTGTGAAGAGCGGAGCCGAATCCCCGGGTGGTCGGGCAGAGAAACCGTTGTTGTCGACGACATACCTGTCGGTTGCGCAGTTGAGTTCGGAGTACCCGAGTCGCGCGAAGCTTTCGACCAAGACGGTGCAGCGGCGCGAAGTGCAGCGAGAAGCATTGATCGGTGGCGGTTACCGGACCTACAACGACACGGTAGACGAGCGGCGAGGGCGACGTGCACGGCGGAAACATCGCTCCCCTAGCCGACACCGCTCCCACTCCAGTTCCTCGCCCGCACCCTTCTCGGTGGAGTGCGCCATACACGGCACGAGAAACGGCGCCGCTCGCAGCGGCTCCGGTCTGTCGCCGCACACCGGACGACCGTCCACACGTGCTGGTCATCGTGTCGACTCCTCGAGACGCACACGATCCCACCGACGCCGCATCGATTCCGATAGCGACACCGATGCAGACATCGTCGCGTCACTCGTCAAAGCGGAACTCGACGAACTACGTGCTTCTGTCAACTCATCCCAAGACCCCCGACTCGCCGACCCCAAACTCGTCGACCAGATCACCAACAAAGTCCTCGGCCGCCTGCGCGCCTAACCGACCGGGCTGTCTGGGTTCGGTAGGTTGGTGTCTTTCGCCGTTGTCTTAGGTGGGGACTGGGTCGTAGCCATATATAAATTTTTAATGAGGGTGTTGGCTGTGTTGACGGCAGGCTTACTGGCAGTGCTGCCTGAGTGCTCTGGTGCATTGGTCGACCCATTACGGAACGAAGTGATTGCGCTGAATCCCCGTAACATCATGGATTCCTTCAAGCAGTACCGGGACCGGTTCCCGGGTGGTATATTGTTCTACAAGGACCCGGCGAAGGTGGAAGATATTTTGACGGACTACTGGGAGCCTTTATCACAAGAGCTGAAGGGGATCGCAAGGTTCGGCGCAGTGGACTGCACTGCTCATAGCAGTTTATGCGAGCATGAACTGGAAGACATGGGTCAGTTGGACGCGAGTGGGTATGTGGTCAGTCTTTATCCTTCTCTGCCAAGACCCCCTCGTGCTTTAGATAAATTGCCTACAAAGGAGAAGTTGAAAAGCCGGATTTTGAAATTGGTTCCTCAAGCTAAATACACGAATCTTGTCACTCTAGATGACGCTTCGAATTATTTCAAGGTAGATGCGAATATCCCCAAGGCCGTACTCTATTTGAGCGATAAGGAGGAGCCGCCGACATTCTGGCACGCTCTCGCACACACGTTTGGTGATCGGATGGCTTTTAGTTTTATTGGCAAAAATGGCGACAAGACTATCGCCCAGAAGTTGGGGCTTTCTCTCGGAACGCCTACAGTCGCTGTTAAAACTAAGGACACTCGATTGAGCAGTAGGTCAGTGGAACAAAAGATTTTGAAGAAAAGGCCGATCAATTTCCAAGAAATTCAGGACTGGCTGAATGTCCATAGTGAGACGTTCGCTCGAGGGGGCGGTGTTGACCTCAAAGTGGGTGCTTCGAGCCCGGATCGACCCTGGCTCCGAGAGGAACTTCCGCAGTTGACGAAGGCCTCCCATAAGGACTTGTGTTTTGGTCTGCGAGAAGGTTTTTGTGCGGTCTACTCAGCAGGACCGGATGACTTGAACGAGACGGGAGAGGATCTACGGGACTCGGTTAAGGACCGACTTACGGTTATTAAGGCTGAAGTGAAGCGACCTGTACTAAAATTTAGTTGGGTCAATGCCGAGAAAGAGAAAGAGGTAGCAGGGTCAATGAAACTGGCCAACGGTAGCTTCGTAATAATCAACCCCCACAAAAGACTCCGTTACTCTACATTGGAAGACGCTAGTACTGTCCAGCACCTGTTTGCGTTCATTGACAAAATCAAGTCAGGCGACGGGAAATTTGTTCCCTTAAAACAGGTGCCTACGTTTGTGGGCAAACAGAAGCAGCCTGACGAGCTGTAGTTTTTACCAATCCTTCATTAACCAATTTTCGACTGTTTTTTTACCCAGAGGTGGGGGAAATTGTGTGATGGATTTTTTTAAACATGATGTCGGCACAGCCTTCAGACGTCGGCTCGGTCGCCATACTCCCCCCCAAAGGAGCGGGCCAGACGCGCTCTTTTACTGTTTTCCATGCCATGCTGAGTGCTGGCCTTCAGTGGAAGCGGTTGGAATTTGAAAGTAAAGATGAAGGTAATGTCGAAGGTATGGAGCCAGTGGTATTATGCTGGGCCGATGAGCGGCTGAAACTGCATTCGGACCAGGCACTAGATCGTGAACCACCACCACTAGACCGGGAACCACAACTAGACCGTGAACCACCACCACTAGACCGGGAACGAAAATGGTTCGTGTTACGTGAGGTATCGAGTCTGATTGACTTGGTTAAGAACACAAGTGTGACTGGAAATGAGGAGGAAGATAAAATATTCCGTAATATTCGGGTTCTTATCTTTAATGCGCCTCATATCGCTTTGCGACAGTCGCAGAACTTGGCGGAATGGATATTGTTCACATCGGATGTAGACCACCTCAATCGAACCACAAAAATTGCTGCAATGACTGATCTTGAGGTAAACATGTGTCCTTCTAGAATAATACCGTTAGTCAGTTTGTGTGTAATCAAAACTACGAGAGCCCTGGAACAGTCTTACTTGACTGAATTCTTGCATGGAAGTAGGCAGGCGGCGGGACAGACGGCGGCGGGACAGACGGCGGCGGAATATACGGCGGCGGAATATACGGCGGCGGAACATACGGCGGCGGAACATACGGCGGCGGGACAGAGGGGGGAATGCGAGATTGTTAGAGCGCTTCAATATTCAGATGTCATTCGTGCTATGCAACCAGGACAGACTCTAAGCACTCTCAAAGGTTACGGTGATATATACTTGCTCTTCGACAAGGCGGAACAACAGCCAATTCCAGAAGGCAGAAACCTGTCGACCCCGCTTCTTTCGGGTCTTGCCAGTGGGCCCGTAGTCGTTCGGCCGTCTGAGGCCAAGTCGTTACTGCGCCTCCTTTCCTCCTCTAAGCTGGCTAATGCACCCAAACAAGATCTGGCTAACGCGGCCAAACAATACGACGAGCGGGAATGTGATTACAAGCGTGGGGATCATCAGGGCACCCAGTATTGTAAAAAAATCGTAATCCTGACGCACCCAATCACACCAGTGCCATCAAGCACGAGTTACTCGTCGACAGAGGCAATATATGATTCACCATTCAAAAGTCTGGATCAAGGAGTTCCTGAGAAATGTTTCCCTATCCAATTGCGTGGAAGGAACACCTTCTTTTTGCTGTACCGAGGAACTTCAGCTCCTGCCTTCATGAAGGCAACGTGGGCATACCATGACTTCTGGGACAAAAAATGGTTAAACTATCATCACTACGTTAACAAGTATCATGATGGCATGCAACAGTACCTCTACCGCGCCGCTCAGTATCAAGCTGATGGGACAAATAATCGCGAGACTCAAGCAGCCGAGAAAAAGCCAGTGGTCGTATTCATTCAAGATCTTCACCTGTTCTTCCCTGAACACACGCAGCATAAGTACTTGGCCCACGGGAGGAACGTGTTTCTGGGGCTGTTGGAGTCCGGATTATTTCAACGTGTAGTGGCATCAGTTCCCTGCGACTTTGAGGATTTGATGATTCTGCGGTACGTAACGCATACTATGTAATTACGGTACGTATACGGTACGTAACGGATACCATAGACGTCGGTGCATTCACAATCGAAGGTTCAGTTGGTTGTAGCATCGAGAAAGGTTGAGCGGATTTATTGCAGCGACCGGGGGAATTACAAACACCTATATTTGTTTCTGACAATTGTTTCTGGAGGGAATTTTTTATTATGAAATCTGTGACGTGCATCGAAGCGGTAGGTCACGGAGCACTGACCGTTGGGCTGGCCGCGCTGCTGGCTATACCGCAGAAGATGGTTTCAGCTCTGTTAAGTCATACGCCTGACGGAGAGAAAGACCTTATGCAAACCTTGCTGCAGAATATGAGCTCTGAGTTGAGAATACGAGTCATAAAATATGTCCAAGCACATGGGGCCAAGGAAGGTGCACAGCACATCCTACGGGCACATCAACGACGCGAGCAAAAACGGAAAGGCACACCCATCCAGACGCATTTCCATCGGTCTTCCGCCATCCCCCCCGTCGTCGCCTCCAGGTCGGCTCAGAGCGTTCCCCCAGTGACCGCTTGGACTCGGTCACCTCTCTGGTCCGTCCCAGGATGCAGCTTCGGTTCTGCAGGAAGCAGCTTTGCTTCTGCAGGAAGCAGCTTTGCTTCTGCAGGGGGCGGTTTTGCTTCTGCAGGGGGCAGCTCAAGGAACTTCTGGGCGCCGGAAAGAGCCATTCAGGTAGACGCCAGGCCCCGAGTACAAACCTCAAGCTCGCAGATCGCGAGCGATCCGCAAGACGTGGCTGACGCGGTAGCCGTGGTCGAGACGTGGGAGCGACCGACACCTGTAGCTCTGAAGGCGTTGCAAGATCTGTTTAAGAGCAACAATGTGGGGCTGGGGGACTTGATAGACAGAGTCCGCAAGTCCGGACAGGACACGGAAGATTTACTGGAGTTAAAGCAGTTGAGGAACAGCGGGTCTTTGTGTTACGCGAACGCGTTGGTGCAGGCGCTCCGGTCAGTCATTTTGACTTCCGGGTTGATGCCGACGAACGCGGACGCATCGGGGCTTGATAGCCGACTGTGGAACACGCTTGTGGGTTCGGGCTCAGTCTCGGATTTTGTACAGACCGTTGGATTCCCATTGGACAGACAACGCGACCCAGTGGATCTGTTGCGAGCCATTGAGGGTTTGCCGGTCATGCGGCGCATGATGTGGAGAGGGGTGTGCGAATCCTGCCCGCCAAATTCGCCGTGCTTGGAGCAATTGAAGTTGGAGGAGAGAAAACCGATTACGGTCTTTCCTGAGACGACGGCTTTGCCGTTCAGTCGAGCAGTGTGTCCGAATAACGCAGCACACTCTGTGGCTAAGTGGGAGGTGCCGGAGGTGGTGTTTCAATGTTTCGAACAGAGCGAGACAAGGGTCACGCCGCGTACTCTGGCGTCTCTCGGGCTAGACAGGGCGACGGTCAACCACTTCTTGGAGGACACGCCCTTTTGCTACACGCCAGATTTTCTGTTGAACGTGAGGACCGGCATACAAGTAAGACAAAACGGTACATTCGTCTGGCAAGGTCGTGAAATTCACGAGGAGGGAGCCAAGGACACGTTTGCAATCGACATCTTCGCCGAAGACAAGAAACGATTCGATCCGCAACTGACACAACGGGTGGTCAACCAACTCAACCGCGTCAGGGAAGAGTATCAGTACGCCAGCGGTGGTTCCATTATATTGAGGGAGAAGGTACACGTACAAGGCACGCAATTCAGACTTCGTGCAGCCGTCATCCACAAAGGCGCCGACAATGCCGGGCACTACTACACGCTCAGAAAATACGCCGGGCAAACAGTCGTTCTCAATGACAGCCACGCCGTTACTTCCCGCGACCCCTTCATCCTTCTACCCGACGAAACCCCCCGCATTCTCGTCTACCAACGCTGTTAGCGGTTTGTCTAAATAAGACGCAACAAAGATGCCCCACAAACTTTTTGAATGAGCTAAACTTACCTCACGGACGGGCGCTTCGGTCTCCGACTGCGTCTACTAGTACCGCTCTCGTCGTCGCGCTGCACTGGCGCTCCTTCTTCGTGTCGCGTGGTGTCTTCCGCTTCTCGGTGTACCATGACCCGCAACTGCTTCCAGGCTTCCATCTGCGCCACGCGGTTCGTGCGCAGCCTCTGACACAAATCCATCACGCTCTGGTAGAGCTCCATCACGACGCCTGCGTTTCCGAATCTCGCGGACGAATTCCGGAGAATCGCCAACTTCTTCGCAGCACACTCACGCTCTAGTCGCTCTTCCTCCAGCCGCAGCTGCGACACAAATGCCAGTTCTCGGGACAGTGCGCCCGGAGAAATCCTTTTCAAGCATAGGATTTCTTCCATTAAATTCCCACGTTCCCATTAAATTCCCACGTCCAGCAGTCCACTGTGACACCCATTCGTGCTAGTGTACGACACCACACCCATCCGCAACAGCACCCGCAACAGCATAAACGAACACATTTATGGACACACACGTGTGTGTAAAGCACCAAATTTCTCAGCAAAACTCCCACACCATTCCACAAGCCTACTCGACGACGCTTCTCCACGACGCTACTACATGACGCTACTCCATAACGCTACTCCATAACGCTACTAACAACGCAGCGCGGTGGTTGAGGCGTCAATAGCGAGTTGTTCAGTATTGTCGGCGGCAACTCAGCATCCCGGCACTATTTGTTATTACCGTTTCTACGAAATCGTTTCCAAATGCGATCCAGCGGTGGGCTCTCGTGTGCAGCGGTGGGCTCTCGTGTGCAGCGGTGGGCTCTCGTGTGCAGCGGTGGGTTCTCGTGTGCAGCGGTGAGTTCTCGTGTGTGCGGTACCAGGAGAGGGTGGCCAAGATAAGAAAAGCGCGAAAGGAGATTCAGTGCCATGATTGGCAGGGAAAAATGTTGCGGCCAGATATGGACCGGCAGCCGAGAGTTAATATTTATTGTTCTGGTTTCATGAGGATGTTGGCTCCGCGAAGAGGACGGCGAGGTTACGGTTTATGTTGGGCCGGTTTGGCTATGATGTCGGGTGGTGGAGATGAAGGGGGGGCGGGGCGTTATGAGAAGAATACGTTTGGACGTGGTAGGTTGAGGGAGTCATGGCGGAAATTGAAGCGTTCTAATATTAAAGGTTCTATGACGGATTTGGGGAACAGTTTGGGTGAGTCAGCGGCGCGGTTCGGTGGATCAGTGGCGAATGTGACAGTAGGGAACGTGAATGTGGGAAATGTGACGCGTAGCGCAAAGCGTGCAGCGAACTCGTTGGCGGCAGCTACGGGCGAGGCGGTGGATCGTTTGAAGGGTGTGCTAGTGGGTGTGTTGGACGCGAACCGGAGGAGTGTAGAACATGTTGGTGCCAATTGGGTGAGTGCGCTGAAGTTGTTAAAAAAAAGACTGAATAAGGGCAAGGCCAAGAAGTTCCGAGATGTGTGTGTGGACATGGTCGGTAAGCAGCAAAAGTCTGTATATACCACGTTGGGTGCAGACGGCCAGCGACGGCTGAAGGAAGAGTTTTATTTAACGCCTAAAACCCTGGCGTTGATCCAGCGGGACTACTTGAAGCAGAAGACGACCTTCGAACACGCGCAACAACGGGCGCTGGCAGCCGGATTCGATCCTAGGGATGTGCTTCCGCTTATGACGTTGCCAAACAAAAGTAATCTGTGCTATGCCAACACACTTGTGCAAGCGCTCAGGACCATCATCTTGCCCACAACTGGCCGTTTGTTGTGCACCAAACAGCCCGTGACGCGAAAGGCCTCGGCTAGGGATGGGACGCAGGTGCCCGAACGAGGATTGAATATCAATCGAGCGCTTCTCGCCACAATCCTCGGTCTCACAGAGGTGGAAACATTCTGCGAGGCACTCAAGTACCCCACTGACCAGCAGCATGACATCGCCGACGCCATCTACGAAATGCATGAGGCAAATGTCCCTCTGCTCGACGAAATGCTCTGGGAGAGAACTGTGCACACTGAGTGCAACGATTGCGACGTGCCTGATAAGACAACCTGGATACCCTTCCGCCTGGACTCGCTGACCAAAAGCGATCTGAAAGAGGTCATGCAAACACCCTGCCCTCTTGACAAGGAGAAATCTCACAACGAAATAGTCACGTGGACGGTGCCCAAGTTCGTCCTCCAGCAATTCGACCACTTCCAGATGCGCACCATCCCTCTAGGCAAAATACGTAAAGGTCTGACCGAAGCCGGTTACAAGAACACCATGGCCCTCGTGAGGAAGCTTTACAACCAACGTATGACTCATTACCGCGAACAAAAAATTCGGATCAACCTCAGCAACTTCTTTTGGCCCGATGAGTGGCCGCACGCACGCAGCCAGGAAGCAGAGTGGCTGGACCGTGCGGACAGGGTCCTCGTCGCCATCCGTAACCTTCCGTCCGACGTACGACAGATGTTGCTCGCAGACGAGGTCTACGAGTACATCCGAACTAAGGATCGTCGTCAGCCTGTGAAACTGCGTCTGAAAGAACGCATTGTCATCGGCGATACGCCCATGAGACTGCGCGCCGTTATGGTGCATGTTGGTGTGGATGGTCGCGGCCACTACTACACGCTGAGGCGCTACGGCGACTACATAATAAGTCTTAATGATGCACAGGTGGACACCAGAGCTCGGGCCGTGGATGGGTTCATTCTCATGAACCAGGAAACGCCGCACTTCCTCCTCTACGAACAAGAGTCAAACATCGAACTGGAACGTGCACAACGTGAGAAAGAAGCCCGCGAAAAGGCAGCAGCGGAGGCAACGGCCAACGTGGCAGCGACCGAGGCGTTGTTGGCCGAGACGCCGCCGGCCGAAGTGCCAACCTTGCAACCGCCACCGAGAAAAGCAAGAACGGCCGAGGTTGGGGATCTCCTTAATTCAGGGAACGAGTTCTACGCATCAGCGGACACGGTTGGCTCCATTGACGTACGGTATGGTTCCGTTGACGACCTCCTTGGTTTGAACGAGGACAGGTCCAATATTGAGAGAGGCTTAGTCGACGACTTGCTGGGCTTCAATGACCGCGTGGGCCGCCCCTCTATAGAAAGAGGGTATGGCTCGGTTGACAACCTACTAAGCTTGAATGACGACGTCGGCTTGGGGCACGCTTCGGCCGTCAAGCAGTATAACTCGGTTGACGATCTGCTTGCCATGAACGACGATGTAGGCTCCATCGACTGGAGCCCTGGACCCTGGCAAGAGCAATTCGACACGGTCTACGACTCGAACGAGCTTGAAGTCGTAACCGTTGACGAGATCCCTGCGGACAAACGTGCCGTCGAAACCCGCTAACCGAATTTAAGGGTTTGACCGCTCCAGACCGACGGAGATTAATTTTTCTTGGGGGGGGGGGATTCGCTGAAAAGGGGGGGCAGGAAAGTACTATACAAAAGCGAGAGCCCGCGGGTAGTGTATAGGTGTGGGTGGCTCCGTCCCGCGCGTGCTACGAAACAAATGCGTGTGCGGAAGAAACACGCGTCCCTTTCGGGAATCCCAGTACTGGGTGTGCTGAAGGGCTGGCAATCCCAGTACTAGCGACGTCTGGTAGGCGAATGATGCCCAAAAAAATCACGTTGCTGACCAGCCCAATGGGGCTATCTACTAGAAGAACGTGACATACCAGGAACGTGACCTACCAGGAACGTGACATACCAGGAACGTGACATACCAGGAACGTGACATACCAGGAACGTGACATACCAGGAACGTGACATACCAGGAACGTGACATACCAGGAATATTTTTTGGAGAATTCGGCGGAGGATCCTGCCGGCAGATTACTGCGGCTCAGATGATTACTGCGGATTCCTCAGTATAACAATGACATTATCACCTCTTAAAAACATCCTGGATATATATCGATCTTTGTTGACCGTCTTCTTAATCTTTTTGGTTCCTTCTTCGTTACTCACTCGAACTTGCTCTGGCCACATTTCTCTAGCATCCGTTAATAAAAGGTTAGTGTGTCTATCGAATGCTTTTATCTAACAACAAAGACGTTATTGGCGGCGGTCTGGAGGGGGGAACC